CTTCCTGTGTCGTCTGGTCCCAAATTGGCGTTCATGTCTTCGATTAGTATTTCAATGCCATAAACTGGAGTATTGTCCATTGACGCCTGTAGTTGTCTGCAGAACTCTTCTTTCTTTTCGAGGTCTGTGTTGTTCGTGGGTGCATAGCATTGTATAACTGACACTTTCCTTCCTTTGGAGGTGAATCTGGCAGTCATTATCCTGGGTGAGATCGCCTCCCATTGCACCAGGGCTGCAGTGTCGGGGACAGAGAGTCGTGTTGTGGAGTCCGTCCACTTATGCTTGCCAGTCTCTACCGGCAATTAATATTGCTTGGGATACGACAAAAACCCAACGGAAAGAACGGTGAGGTCTGATGTTAAGGTCTAGGGACCTTTTGCCATAAGTTGTCATTGGAGGCTCACTGGCGGCGCTTCGTTGTAGAGGTGTCGACCACAGACTCTTTTTCGTTGTAGGTGGGATTACGCTAGCTTTTGCCTCAGTACAAAAACCTACATCTTGGAATAGGTTCAGAGAAGGTCATAAAGTTTCTGAAATTAGATCAATACACTTAGCTGCCATCGGCTTGAGGATATTTTGGTCTCTGCTTATAAGGTCACACATGATCCGAATCAAACAGATGATATCGTGCCATTAGATCATTACGAAGTAACGAACGAATATCGTTCGTTATTATGTTATGTATGTCATAGCAGCTCCGTGGTTTTAACACAATGTACTCCGGAGTGCACTGCTTCCCATTTGAGTCTAACATACGTTTCCTGAGGAGTCCAGTCACAGGTCACAATAACCCAGTAGTCCGAATGGGTAGACGTCTAGGAGAAAGATGCTGAGTGGAGGCTGACTCGACCAAAATGAGGATACCTACTTATGTATCTGTAAGTGTGCCTAAGTAGACTGCTACTTTTTCCAGTCTTAAAGTAAGGTCATCTCCTCCTGACAATTACTTTTTGGTGGGCAATACACCTAGGGTTATTTGTGAAATCACTAACGAAAATCAGTTCAGATTTCCTGCCTATTAAAAGCCCAAGCCTTTTTTGAACAATCTTCCGATCCTAGGGATATTGGAATACATCAGGTGAGACAAGTATTCACACTTCGGTGAGATTTAAGCGTAGTGCATTAGCTTAAGTCTTTTGTAATTTCCATATTGCACACCTCCAAATTGTTGTAACTTGATAACCACTCATTAATTTACATGCAGCCACAGTTGACCGATACCAAGGGGACAAGCAAGTGGTGAATTTCGTTTCGTATTTAGTTGCTTTAATTATAAAAAATACACAATTTTGTATCATTACACGTCTTTTAATACTTCCCTTCTCCTCAAGTCCCTATTTTGGTATCTAATAGTGGTAAATTGTTTGCAGATGACCAAGCAGTTCATGGTTGTCAAGGTCCCTGCCATTGATAAGATTTTGGTAGTTAGCGAGCTGTGGGTGATTGGTAGATCATTGGTCATTCCACGGTCGTATATATGTGATGAAGTCATGGGACACGCAAAGGCTGCACTGGGTTACATGACTTATGAGTTCCTTCTGTTGGGGCGCTACAGTAATATGACATGTTTTACTAGTGATTATTTTTCAGATAATTTTGAGGAGGCTGTTACAGTGAAAACCACATCGGAACTGTTGCACTCATCATTTAGGAGGTCGTCATCTGAGGAAATGGAGCTTGCAAGCTAATGCAGGGTAAACTGGTAGGCTGTTATTCTTGGTTGATCTTCCCGGTGTTACGAAGCCAACAAGAAAGATTTCGGTGGATACCGCCCCCTTAAACTATCCATCTCGTTTGTTGGCTGACAGAGAATTTCAATTCAACACAACTGATTTCCGAAACCCGCCTAATGTGTACACAAGTAAATTGTATATTACAGTTAATTTAAAAAATATCATTTCGGCTTGTCTTCTGTCGCTTCAACATCGATTACCTACAGTCCGTTACCAGTTGACATGTAAGTTCAACTTCATCTCAAATGTTACTTGTAGGTGCCTTAGGACTGAAGAGAGAGGTGCTTGTACGTCTGTTTGTTCGGAAATGTTAAGGGCTATGCGGGTAAGCCAGACACATCGGAATCACGTGTCGCTGAGATTGAGGCTAAGCTTTCGCGACTCATGGTGGCCGACATCACTGACCAGGATGTCTCCTTTATGAATTCTGTTCAAATCTTGAAGTCTCCGGACAGATGGCAGTTGGACAATGATACTGTCATGTCTTCCTTTAAGATGAGGCTGTCCGACGAGGAATGCCGTCTTAGTGTTTCCTCCAACCTTGGAACTTCAGTTTACTCCAGTGTTCAGAGCCCCATTGGTCGTATCATGAACGTTTTCTTGGAGCCAGCATACAGCACACATTTTTCTTGGGATGCTACCTAGGAGAAGTGGCACATCAAGGACACCAAGACGTGTGACCTTGCAATCCATAAGTTAATTTTGTTTCCATGGTCGTTTTTAAGAACCATTAACAGTTTCCACCAATAAAGCAGTGCTGATAAACGTAGCACAGTGGATGCCGTCATGACTTCCATTCAACGTCGGTTCCATAATGGCCGCGACAGATTGAAGTCGAGAGTAAGAAAACGGCGACGTTCCCTCTGGTGTTTCCCTATCTTTTCTTAATTTAATTTTCAGATCACCACCAACTAAAACACGGAGAAGATACCAGATGCAAATGGTACACGGATGAATGTTTCTGGTGATTTATATGGTGTTTGACATTTATGATGTGTCAAAGCATGGTATATTCATTTGGCAAGAATATAAAACATATATTTCATTAAAGTCCACTGCTTTCTGATATAGTAAGTCTTTGAGCTGATGCCAGTATGCTGCTTCTTTCGGTGAGCTGTGTACATAATTGGTTTGCCTTTATGTTGGCTATCGACTAAGTGTTCAATGCATAACCATAGGCGTGTGATCCCAGGCTTTAGTCAGTTGCAGAAAGTTAGGGCACATTGCAGAATGTTTGGGGTAGGCTTAGAGGCATTGTCCCACGTTCGGCAGTGCGCCCGAAGAAAATGCTAGCTAGGCTAAAGCACATATTCCCTAAATGCTCTCTTTGGAGCCTATCAGTGGTTTAGTAAGTGGGACGAATTGCACAGAAGCTCCTCAAAGATCAGAAACGTTTACTGACTATAAAGAAGCGAAGTTGAAGAAATCATTTTGACTTATACTATCTCTTAAAATGGATATTGGATATTGAGACCTTTGGATATTGGATATTGGAGCAGTGAATTAGTTTTAGCGAGAATTTGTATTTTGAGCTACAGCGTAGTTTACATGAGTATTACGAAAGACGCTATAGTCAGTTTCAAGGTCATGATGGGTTCCTGCGTCTGCTGGTTATATGTTTTCGTGAATTCGTTTTCCATTGAATTTTAAAGGTTTTTTCGAACGTTTTGCTTGTTTTGGAGTATGTAGGTCAGTTTTTTGTCACTGGATGCTACTAAGACGTTTATTTTTAGCTTGCAGTTCCCAGTTTTTATGTTGGTAGTTAAGGATTATGGTAAATCTGCAATCATTGAGCCAATTCACGCATACTATGCTAATATAGTAACTTTTCTCAGTAATTAAACGCCTTAACTGTTCTGCCATTGTTGGATCAAACAGTGGCAGAACAGTTACGGATTATTTGCTTAAGGTAGAACTGTGCGCTGGTTTATCATCATGACTGGCACCAATTCAGCACCTTGTTCTTATTCTACGCATTATCAGAAGTAGCTTATCAGCCTTATTGCAGCCCTTCTAGTCCAGGTTCTGCTCCTCCCAAGCTTACCATAATGCTGAATTAAATCTCACTAATTCCAACTTTCTACAGTCAGTAAATTCTGGATCTTTTCTTAAATAGACCCTTTAATTTCACAGTCTAGAACTCAGGTTTGGTTTTCAGCATGACTGACACTAATTCAACACCATGTTCTTTTTGTAGACATTTTCAGGAGTAGATGAGAAACTACTGGTTTTGCTTATCAGTACATGCTGGGTTCACTTGAAGTAGATAAAATATTCATTTACCGTAAAAAGGTATTATTGACGCGTTGGTTAGACTTTGCTGAGAATTGTTGCAAGGTTGGTATTTTAAGCGTCCCAAGCTTACTATACTATACCTCCAAAAGTGCATTCAAAGCTCACAAACTTATATTCCATAGGGCCAGATGGGTCTTTTTTACCTGAATCAAGCCGTTAGGATGTGTTGGATTCCTTTCAAAGAAATAATGAACAATTTAGTTGTTACCTTCATAAATGTATCAAAAGCTTGCTTAAGTTGCACCCACGTATAAAATACACAACTAAGCATTATTCTTTGGAATGTAGCCATTACATCAGACACTATAGATGACACATTTCGTGTAGTAGACGCAGTAGGAGTAATTTGCAACATCATTTAATGGTTCTAACAATTCCTAACGTGCACAACAAAATGATTTCAAGTAAATGAACAGTTGTATGTATTTCATTGCTTATATACCACTTTTGTGACATAGGAAATTTACTTTATTTATGTTGACCTAGTATGTGCAATTCCCACAGGTCACTAAACTGAAAACTTAAAAAAGTAGATCACTTAATACATACATATATCTACATGTCCAAAATTGAAGACACATTATACGTTTAGCAATTTATGTTGAATTCTATTCCCATAGTAACAAAAAATGCATACATCCTATTTTGGACTTAAATGCATCAAAATTATTGTTAACTTATATTCACTTACTAGACATTCTCATACATCTCAGTGTACTTTCAACACCACCAATGCATCCAAATAGCATGTGACTATCACACTACACTCACACCAAAAAAATTAACACGCCGTTATATTATGGTAAGTTAAGACTGACTTTAAACTGACTGTAACTTTCCGTGTCAAAATAAACAGACTGCCATTTTAACTTCTATTTTAGACCAATAAGAAGCCAGCTAGCCAACAGCCAATCAAAATCTGCCTATATCGCTTTTCGAGTATTACGTCGGCAAGGGTAGTAATTTGCAGTAATGTCTACTCGTAATCCATCTCCACCACCTGACTATGATAACAATGAGAATCAGATTGATATGATTGGAGACACAACATATAGTCGACGATGGCTCTTCTCAATGTTGATAAAATTTTTGGAAAGCGTTAATAAAGAAACTTCTGCGACTTGGGCGAACTCAGAGGACAATTCAAACGGCGACCGGCTAGATAGTGAGCTTGAAGAGCAGCTGTGTTGTCTATGGGACCTGACGGTCAATCGGGATGTTCTCAAATTCCTTGACGAGTTTGAAATCGTCTCAATATTTAATAATGCTCTTGGAAACGTCCAGAAACCTAGACTTTTGGTAATGAAGTACTCTGTGTAAATTTGTAACTCCTAATAAGGAAATCATGGTGGGGATCCTTGCAAATCTAGCTTATGACCCGGTCGCGTGCCGTAAGATGAGTGAGAGTGAATCATTTATGTATGCTTTCTTGTTTGCGTGAAAATTTACTTAGATTAGCGTTCGTATAACAAACTTATTATATTCAAGGGATACACCCACTCTTATTGAGACATGCAGGTTAGTTGTTACTTGCGAAATATTTTCAAGACTGATACAAACTGTGCTTGCATCAGATGAATACAAAATGCCCTGGTTCGATGAAATACGCTTCCAGCCGGAGTTTTTTGAAAACATTCTCTTCATTTTAAAGAGTTCAACCAACGGTATGTTCACATATGCTAGTCATTTACTTGGTAGCAACTTTGTTGATTGGTGCTGTTCGCCTTATTGACGTTATCACACGAGATGATGACAGTTTAGCCGAAGTCTGGTGTGGTGAGCAATTACTCAAGGCTATTTTGATAGCCCAACATGAAATGAAGTAATACCCTTTCTATTTCATCACATTCGTCCAGATGGTTACATGGCAGTGAAGTGGAAATAATTCATCGTTTGTTGTATACGTTCTCTTCTAATGTAAATGGTGTATCGGCCTTAGGTCAGTATTCACTTTACAACCTACGGAAAAAATTTCCAACAACAATTTTACATTTCATGATTTACATTAATTACTTATCATTGTTATTGTTATATTAATGAATAGTTATCTAAACCATGCGGAGGTATGTATGTGACCGTAATATTATAGTTTTCTCATCTTATTTAGCATCGATTGACAAGCCGATTTAATGTTCACTTGTGAATCTTCGTAAGATGCTCCAAGTTCAGGATAATAATTAAAGCCTGATGACCTCAGGAATGCGATATTTAATCGTAGTAAACTTACCATCACTCTAAATGACTTAATTATCACTTGCATAAGTTTATTTTGTTTTTATTACTTACCTTTTATTCACTTATCACCTGGAATCATGGGAAAACTTTGTATTCTGACATTTTTATCTCGAAACAGCCTGTATCCAAGTAATCGGTGAATACGCAATACACAATGCCTCATTCAATACTATCTAATAATTTTCTGAGTACAACTATTTTATGGCCGAGGGTGCACATGCTCTGACTATAAGATTCTCGCTTTTGTTACAACATTCAGTCATTAAAACCCTCAATAGTTCGACCCCCACGTCGTGTAATGTATACTGCTGCACTTAGTTACAAATTAATTTGATAGAGGAGAATATGTGCAGTGCATTGCGTTGACTATTTAGCGTTTTTTGATTGCGCTTTTGAGTAATCTGTTTTATCAGAGCAATGGGTAGTTGTAAATTGCCTATGACGTTAGATACCCCAAGATTCATTCAATATACTTTGTTACAGTTGCACGGTCAGTGGTAAAACTCATGTATGTAATGTAACCGTATCATGCAGAAATTACTGGGTAGATGTAGGTGAGATCACCTGAATCTCTGAAATGTTAGGGATTACGAATCATACAATTGACGGAGAACGTTTCTAAAAGCATGACACGTTCTTTTATTGTTTTTAGCTTCATAAATTTTATTCTAATATATATTCAAGTTCACATTGGGAAAATATCATTTTCATTCCTTTTAATAATTCTTCTGTCCTTGCACCCTTGTGGAATGCAGCAGAGTATAGTAATAACGATTTTATCGAGTTTACCTAAAAACCAATAAAACCGTTTGAAATAGAATTTAGGTATCTATGCAGTTATCACAAAAACAAAATACTAATATTAGAACGGAAAACTTAAATATCTGTAATTGTAACAGTGTCCAGAAAAGTCTTATGTAGATATAATTTCCACGCAGTTGGTTTTGGTTCTCCTTATAAAGTGAGCACGTGTTTTTTTCTTTTTTTAAGTTATTGTGTCATGATATGTTTTAATAGTGAAGATATTTTCATGAATTTCATTACAGTGAAATGCTTTCCAGAAGTTTTGCCTACATTCGGTGTCTACTTGCGCAAAGTGTGTGAAGATGCTCCTCATCTGATCCATTTCACAACTTACTACAATAGTTTACGTGCTATAATCCCAATAATAGATGTGGTTATCGCTAGTTTAGAATGTATGGATGCTTTATCCTGTTATTTGTCTGGTAAGCAGTCATGTCTATGGAATATTCTTATATACAGTTTCGTTAGCTATTTTTGTATTATTTTGGTCATTATTTATCACTATATATGCGGGAAATATTTGTTATTAAGTTCAAAGTTGATAAGTTGGACAAAATTGGCGGATTGCTTTTTCTAAATGTATGTTAAAAATCATTCTAGTTGAAATGGATATTCGGTTGTTCTTGTAGAAAAAGCGAAGTTGCTTGGTGTCTTCATTTATAAATAATGATTCGAGTTTTTTTCCTTCTTGAAGACTGATGATTAGGTCCCAAGTTATGTGTAAAGTAAACTTATATGCTGGTTAATAGAGTTTAAAAAGTAAATAAACCATTAGGAACACCTTTAATTGGTGGATGGTGACTAGCAGTGGAATCCAGGATGCTCATTTCACCCTATTTGGGACTCGTCATTGATGTACTGCATTCCCCAGTGAGTGATGATGTTCTTACTGCTAGTCACCATCCACCAATTAAATTCTAATTACATGCCCAGACATCGTCGAAGCATCTGCACAAGAAGCCGACATGTCAACCTGAGACCGAGCACTTCGGTCCAATCAATCGAAGGGAAAATCTAAAATTCAACTAAAAAATATTAGGAACACCCTTTTTTAAACTAGAAAACTATGAAATGTAGTGAAATCCTAAGACAACTTTATAATACACACCATGAAGTCGAATTTTCGACTTGCCTACTGTTAGCAACGCGTTTACGGCGAAAATGCCACAAAAGTTTGGTGATTCTCTGGGAGGTCTATGTTTTGAATGAAATATTTAAAAAGCTGTACGAAATGTGACAAAATAAGATGCAGTTTTATGTCAGAACCTAAGTCACACCTACTGAGTAGTGTTTAACGGTTTAGCTTTAATGCTGCAACCGACACTTATAGCGTAAAACAGTATAATATTGAGTGATTAAAAGTCTAGTATCTGAAGTGTTTTCATGCCAGTGCCAACTACTTCTTACAGGCGATTTGTTCCCTGTAATTGCTGGGAAACAAAAGCCTATATATATGTATGATATGATTGTGAGATTGGATCAGCAGTTCTTGCTGTTTTACATCGCCTTAGATTCCGGATGGCTTTTATACCTTTGATTAGACTTTGCGGACATTATTGATGGTGGCTGCGTATCCTCATTCTAGCTGAGATGTAGCTTTACATGTACTGGTTAACTTCTCATACAAATTAGTCTCTGAGAGACACTTCCAAAAGTGGGTCAAGTAGCAGTTCCTTTAATGAAACACCAAGATTGTCGGTTTGTGTTTCATATTAGTGTTCTAAAGAGTATTGAAGAATATGTGGATAAAACTCATCTCACCTTTTGTGAGTGATTTTTCAACATGACAGAGTAATCTTCTGACGACGCGTATGTAACATCGTTTCAAGCTAAAAGGATATTTCCAGTGTTCCATACTTTCTCAAACAAATTAGTTTTCTGACGAATTTTTTGCCTTTGTCTTCACAAAGTTCAAAGGACAGTTGGCGTATACTACTCACTTTAAGACTGTGACTGCGTTTAGTCGTACACCTATTCATCATATGGATGTTTTGCTTGATGCGTCCTTCGGAGACAACCATACCAATCAACTTTATATACTATATGCTTATATATATATATATATATATATATAGTATTTTTGTCTCATAACTTCCTTCTTACATTCATAGACCAGTCTGTATCTTATGGTATTTTAGTGGCTTATTAGGGCAGACATTTATGGAAAACAATCGAGTATTATCGTATCAATTAGAACGAACTCAGATCTAGTATTATCTTGGTCTTAGTAGTTTGTTTATTTGATATCACACAGTGAAATAGTATTATTTACTGGATCATGTTTCCAACACAATCTATTGTTCATAGTTAAATCAATTGTAACTACACAATTCCGAAACCTTCGTTTTATAATTCTCCTTATCCTTTCCTATTCGTTGTGGGTGTAGTAGAATTCTCCGGAAGTTTGGCTGGACAAGTGTTGAGTCATTTCTATTTCACGTATTTTCAGTTGATGTGATAAATAAAGTTTCCGCTATCCATATCTCCTTCCAACCCGTTACATTAGATTTTAAAACTGTCATCTTATCCATCCTGTTGTATGGTTGTGTGTAATTGCATGTGGTGAGTGATAGCTGAACTATTCTCCAGATTTCTTATCTTATTAGGATCAACTAATCTAGATTTCGTTACGTTTTTGTGCTCCTCTGATCTGACTGACCCCATTCTACTACTTAGGCCTATATATTTAACCTGACAATCATTGCAGGCAGGGTATTAGATAAACTAAATTGGCTGGTTTAATTGGCTCCACAGGATCCTTCAACCGATAAAGCTTGTTTCTAATTGAGTTTGTGGGTTTAAGTGCCACTTTTATTCCTGCATTGTTAAGAATTTTACGTAAAGTCCTCTAGGTTTCTTCTTTGCATGCAAGTACTACTGATGATTTAAATTTCTTACTGTTAGTTTTGTCATCATTCCGTACATGTCTTCATGCGTGTGTTATTATTATTATTATCAATATTACCACCGCTATTATTATTGATTTTATTTTTACATTTCCCCGCATACTTTCTGACTAATTTATCGGGGTAAAGATTAAGTTTCAAAGCTTCTCTTATATACTTGACTTTCTGTCTTAGATTTTTCTTGTTACTGTTAATTTCTAAAATCTTATATAACAGGGGGAAGAGAGAGGCGAATAGCGGAAGCTTCATTTATCACATCAACTGAAAATACGTGAAATAGAAATGACTCAACACTTGTCCAGCCGAACATCCGGAGAATTCTACTACACCCACAACGAATAGGAAAGAATAAAGAGAATTATAAAACGAAGGTTTCGGAATTGTGTAGTTACAATTGATTTGACTATGAACAATAGATTGTGTTCAAAAAGTGATTCAGTAAATAATACTGTTTAACTGTGGGATCAATCTAATAAACAAATCAATATGGAATTGCATACTACCACAGTGCCCAACTTCTACACATTTTTTTATTCCCTCATGTTCCCAGTGGGACATAGGGCTTCAAACTAGAGGCTTGAAGTTTCTGTAGGAGTGGTGATTATTTTTACAGGATGCGGTTGCTAGCCTCATGCCCAACCTTTCCTCTTTACCAGCTTTTTATTTCTGGCTTAGCGAGGTAAAGGAGTGCGTCTATGGCCGGGGATCGAACTCCGGACCACATGAAGCGTGGTCGGCGAGCGTCCTAACTGCTGTGCCCCGTAGACGCACAAGTTCTACACATACATTAATTATCTTGGTCACTTTCACATATACGATAGATATGTAATGTGAATGGCTAATATTTTTAGATTTCTTTTTTTCTTTTTTGATGATGAAATACAAAAATTGCATTATTCATTCTTATACATTGTAGATCCAGACATTCTTCCCTGTTTGATACACATTGCTTGTGGTTGTCAGAAACAGAAGGGTGAATTGCCTCTAGTTCGTGGAATTCTAGCTGATTTGAATATCCTTTTTAAAGATATTATTAAATCGGTTAGCTCCAGTGTAAAAGTAAGTAAAATTCATTGAGTTTCTTCATAATACCCCACATCATCTTTTTCAATTTTCTTCTTAACAGTGTAAGTGGTATTTTCACGCATTCTACTTGTTTTATTTTTTGCTTTGAACACTTAACTCAGAGAAATAAAGCGCAATTATTATTTTTTCAAACAAGAAAAAAGATTAAGGGAATACGCTTAAAATGTATGAGTCACTGAAGAGTCGTCTCACACAAGATGAATAATGATCTTTGTGCACTCGCGTCAGGAGTGTTCCTCACAAAAGTGAGGAAGCCAGTGCGAACATCTAGTTGTCACAACCGGAGTGATGAACATGCAGGTTTACCTAGAAGAGTTGGTAGACCATGAATCCAAACCTGTGGTGTAAATGGACTCCAAGATCCGAAAAACAAGGAATTGCGTATGGACCTTTCTTGGTCATCAACCAACAACCATGAGAACTCAGTTCCTAACACTCCTCCACTGACTTGTAGATTAGACTTCAAGTCAAAAGTTCGGGGTTGGCCTTCTTTAGACAACCACCTGCTTCAGTCAAGGCATCCGGTCAGTATCACAGCTCTCACATAAACTATGAGGTTTATGTGTGGCTCATCTCTTGGTGCTCATAATGTACCTAGTTCGTCTACAAAACAATAAGAAAACACAAATGATTGGAATTTTATAGATTACACATTTGTAATCGCACATTCCCTTACGTCTTATGGTTTGTCGACATTCATAAAGGTAACTAATTGCCCCAAGTATGTGTTGTAATAATAATAATAAAACACAAAATAATCGAGCAAAGAATATTCTTTTCGATAATATTTTCTTCCAGGCTCTACAATTATATATGCATGTTTATATACACAGAATATTTTAAATTAGTAGTTAATAACAATATTAGCGTTTTTTTAATAATATCGATTTGTAAAGTATGATCAATGTTATTGCAAACGCAATCTAATAAAGTGCTTGGTCCACAGAGCAAGAGAGATTTGCTCGAATGAATGTCTTGACGAGGAGCTTAACAATATTAAACGGTTGCTAAGTGAGAATGGTTATCCCGAAAAGTTTATTGATAAGAATATGAATCTAAAACCAAAACAGTCGAAGTTACCAACAGTTCGAAAGAAAGCCTTGTTCTTACAGATGCAGTTCCTAGGAGACAACACAAGTGAGATACGAACACATCGCCTCAGAAATGCGGTAAAAAGAGCATTCCCTGCTGCTCAATTACGCTGTATCTTCAAAACCACTCCTCTTCTGCGTTCGGGAATAAAAGACAAACTGCCTAATTTCGCCTCCTACTCCATGTGTATATACCAATTTAACTGCTCCTGTGGAGCCAGTTACATAGGCCGTACAATTAGGCGTGTTTCTCGTCAAATTTCCGAACATCACCCTGCCTGGTTAAGCAAAGGTCAAACAAAATCTGTTCGCAGCGCTATTCTGGCGCATCTTGTGGAGACAGAACACAAGATTGACGTTAATCATGCTTTCAGGGTCATTTACCGCATACCTACGAATCTCAATTTCGCTTTAAGAGTTCGACTTCTAAATATCGCTGAGGCTGTGGGGATTCATATTAATAAGCTTAATTTATGCACCCAAAAGAAGTTAGTTCAGTCATTATCATTACCTTGGCCATCCAGGTTTGAATAATCCAGAATTTTTGTGAAATTTCCCTAATTTTAGTTGATACTCTATTCGCTGTTATATCTTTATTATTATTATTATTATTATTATTATTATTATTATAATTTAAGCATCTTTAATGAACTGCAATAGCATTGATCCATACTTTACAAATCGATATTATTAAAAAACGCTAATATTGTTATTAACTACTAATTTAAAATATTCTGTGTATATAAACATGTATATATAATTGTAGAGCCTGGAAGAGGAGATTATCGAAAAGAATATTCTTTGCTCGATTATTTTGTGTTTTATAGATGTCTAAATGAATATTTTTGCAATAATAATAATAGGTATATACACTACCGGTTTTGTGTCGTTTACAGTTTCTCAGCGTTTGTTACAAACAGTAATCAGAAAGATAGTTGCAGCGGAAAAATTTTTTTCTTTTTGACGAAGACGATGTCATCTAGGCTGTACATTCGTGTATTTATGGTAAATGGATGAGAAAGTTTTAGAACTATTCCCGGTCAAAGGTCAAATTTAAAAAATTACAAAGTGTAATGAACTGGGAGATCGGGTAGAAAAGACACAGTAGGATCATAATTACTGGTAAACTTGACTGTTTGTTCAATAAGGGATTAAAAACCAAGTAAAACAACAAAATAGGCAGGAGGTTCGGATAAAAAAACAGGTCTAGTAATGCGGATAGGAAAAACGTAAAAATAACAGAAATAAACAGATAGGTTGGATAAGAAAGGTGATAGAATAATCATTATTGATAGGACTGACCTTTTATGATGGTCATGGTAAGGACAACGGTTGGACGTATTTCTTCCGAATACATAGCTCGGGCTTTGGATCGCTAGTGCCTCAGCTATTAGCAGATATTCTGTTACCGAAATATATACATCCTTGAGTTCCCGCTTTTTTAAATTCAGGACATTCAGCTCCATTTGAAAAGTCCTTCAAAGTCTTATACTACATCCAAACAAACCTCTCTAAGGGAGTGAAATCAAAGCACCTGTTGTATTTTTCCGTAAACAACGAAGCTTCGTAAAGCTTTGTACACTCGACTGTTTCCAAACAGCTGAATAGATGACGGACTTTCAGAATCATCTAGATTGTTGCAGAATTTCCCTGCTAGAATTGACATCCTCTGTTATGCCATGTAAATGAAGTACACAGGTATGTTAGCTTTCTTATGCCTTTCATGAACAACTGCTGTATAGCTTGTCAACTTAAACATCTAACCTTCGGCAAGTGAACTACATTGGGGAACCCAAACCCATTGATTGGAGTTAGTACAATCAAAATGTGCGAATACTTTTTAAGCTATAGATAATGTTCACGATTTTAGTACAAGACTGACTAACTGATTTCAACATAAAACTTTGCATAAACGTGAAGCAGTTGGAGTTGCTACTCTCTCCATGTAGCACACAAAGCAAGAGAGGAGAGTAAACAGAGATTCAAAAGAGAGATAATAAACAGAGGTGTGAGTGAGGGAAAAAGAATGGTAATGCAGAAGTACAATAGAATTTTATTGCATATTATAAATCACAGAGTGAATGCATCTGCACCATTGAGAACGACTTTGAGCCATATCACCGATTGTCTCCAGCCTTCATTGGTTTTTACCGTCCCGAGGACCCCAACCAGTCAGGAAGTTTACACCTTCCTACGTGGCTGGCTGGCTTAAACTGTTGTGGATTTCATTGACTGGTGAAGCCATGTTTTGGTTTGACCGCTGCTAGTTCGTTTCCAACTTGATCCTATGTCAGTCAACATTGACCGTCGAGGAAGGCAATGGCTAGGCATGCGTAACACATTTTCTAACCATCTTGATCGATGTAACTTCACAGTCTCGTCTGTTGATTTCCCCTTTTTACCTAACACTCGAAGCCTAACCTCAATATTGCTCACCCTATTATACCATTTCACACGAGATAGAACGCAGACACCTATGATCGAAGACAGCTAGTCGGGCTTTTCATGTCTTCCACTTCCAATGGTCATTGATGTCTCACTCACAACCACAAAGGAGGACAGACCGGACTGCCGCTGAGCAGTATACACGCCCTTTGGTCAATAGCCAGATACCACATCTACACCAGAGATGGCGTTAACTGGCATATGCCAGACGAACCTTTTGTATCCGTGCTGAGACTATGTCAGTGATCAACCCACTGGAGCTGGCTGATGCAAATGCCTAAATGATTAAAGCAGTCAACACCCTCTACCACCCCACTGCAGCCTATCTTTTAGCTAGGAGTCAATGTAGTCCAGTCCGGTCCTGTAGCATCATCTCACATTTGACGGGAGCGGATCACATGCCAAACATTCGAAGATTGTTGCTCAAGGTGTTCAGAAGACTCTGCTCATAGTCATAGTCTTCACCTAGGAAAGAGGACTATTTCATTTACATATTCTAAGTCAGCGAGATTATTCCCCAGTAACAAGTGAATCCCTGAATCGCTTAAGTCAGTTAGTGTTAAGTTCATTAGTACCACTATGATGAAATGAAATAGAAATGGCGACATTACAAGAATTAGTATATTGTTTTTGTGTTGATGAGTGAGTGTATTAAGCAGCCCTTGGTAAGAAAGTAGAAAAAAACAACATTTAGTAGGGTTTGAGATAAAAGGATATGTAAGCCTTAAAAAATCTGCCCAGTACTATATAAATATTGCACTCCATAAAATCTATGAATTTGTTCCAATATTCTTTCACGTTCCCGGTGGAACATAGGGCTTCAGGCTAGAGGCTTAAAGTTTTTGTAGTTTCTGTTTATTTTTACAGGATGGGGTTGCTAGCCCGATGCCCAGCCTTTCCTCTTTACCATCTTTTTATTACTAGCTTAGCGGGGTAAAGGAGTACGTCGGTACGGGATTAAACCCCGGACCATATGCATGGTCGGCGAGCGTCCTAACCACTGTGCCATCGATGCATATATATATATATACATATATATATATATTATATATATATATATATATATATATAGACTAAATACAGTCCTTATTCAATGAAATCAAGCGTTTCATAGGATGATAACCCATTGTTCTTTTACATTTTTTTAATCATATATTTTCTATAGACAATGGATGAATCAAGTATAATTCAACTGACCACAGGTGAATTAAAATGGCTAGCCGATTTAGAAAAGGATGATCATTCTAGTTTTCGTGAAGCATTTACAAATTGTTGCCTAAATGATGGTGATGCTGAAACCAAAGCATGTATTATCTCATTATGCAATCAATTGAAATTGGCCAAGATACTGGAATCAGTCACTACAGATGATTAATCGATTAATTAATTGATTTATTGATTGATTGGTTGACTGGCTGTGAAAGACAAATGAAATGGTAAGAGGAAAAACTGTACAGAGAGAGTTGAACAAATATATAATTTTTAAGAAAAAAACAGTATTCCTCGTACTATTTCATGGAGAGTGAGAGAGAAACAAACTAAAAAACAAGCTAATAGAATAGTATGGCCTACGTACGATCTTCTGTAGTTTTTCTACTATTTTATATATGTCCAAACCAAGTTCACTTCTACTATTTTGATCAAAATAATATTTACGAGTACTTTTGTGTTTGTGTGGGAAACAACATTTCGTCTTATGAATCGATAAAGCCGAGCAGAAGTAGTAATTCTCCTTAACTGTTTACCATATATATGTACACTATGATGAAGACTAAGTTTGAATTGATTTATCTCCTCTAAGAGGTACTATTTATTCATAATAATAATAATAGTGAAAGCAGTTTGGATATTAATGAAGTGGTAAAAAACGACAAAGCCAATTTGGGGTATTACATTGTGATTTTATTTGTTTTTTATGCGATGATCAATGATGTTCAGTCAATCCAGAATAAAGAACTCTTTTTGAGAAACAGTTCTAGCATTTTGATTTGCCGTATAAAATCTTAAAGTCTGTTCACTGTTGGTAAACTTGGGCACTGTGGTAGTAAGTAATTCCATAATAGTTTGTTTACTAGATATATCACACAGTGAGTGAAACAGTATTACTGTTTACTGGATGACACAGTTTCGAACACAATTCATTATTGTTCATAATCATTCCATCAATTATAATCACACGACTTCGAAACTTGAGTTTCATAATTTTCTTTTTTCTCTCCTATTTGTCGTCACAGGGGTAGGAGAATTTTCCAGATATCCGCTGGAAAGGGGGTGAATCATTCCTATTACATGTATTTTCATTCAGTTGATTCGATAAACAAAGCTTCTGTTATCAATCTCTCCCTCCACCCCGTTGTTACATTAGATTTTAAAACTGTCATCTTATCCCATCCATCCTATTGTATGGTTGTAGGGGATGAACGTTTCAAAAGTATGGTGGAGGTATGTAGATGACACATTCACTGTACTTAGGACACAGGATATAAATAGATTTTTCGAACAAATCAACTCAGAGGTGGAGGCAATTCAATTCACTTATGGATTGGAAAGTCAGGAAGGGGAGCTTCCAATGTTAGATTGTAGCGTAAAAAAGAAAGAAGATGGGAAGTTAAACACTAGTGTTTACAGAAAATCCACACATTCAAACAGATATTTGGACTTCCGATCATCCCATCCTATGTCAGTGAAAATAGGATTGGTGACATGTTTAAGTGATAGAGCACAAAAACTAAGTAGTACCAAGGAAAATCTAAGACAGAAAGTGAGGCATATAAGAGAAGCTTTGAAACTTAATAATTACCCTGATAAATTAGTCAGAAAGTATGTAGGGAAATGTAAAAATAAAAGTAATGATAGTAGTTATAGTGATAATGGTAGTAATGGTAATAATAATAATAATTACAATAATAATAGTAACATTAATGACGACATGCATGTCAAACATGCTCAAGACAACACCAACAATAAGGAATCTAAATCATCAGTAGTAATTCCATACAAGGAAGGAACCTCGGAAACCTTGTGCAGAATTCTTAACAAGGCAGGCAGGAATAAAAGTGGCTGGCATTCAAACCCACAAACTCAATTAGAAACAAGCTTTGTCGGTTAAAGGATCAATCCTGAGGAGCCTTTAAAACAAAACAATTTAATTAATCTAATACCCTAGCGATGGTTGTCAGGTCAAGTATATAAGTCAAAGTAGTAGAACAGTGGCAGTCAGACTAGCCGAGCATAAAAACCTAGTAATATCTAGATTAGTTGACCCACATAAGATAAGAAATCTAGAGAATAGTCCAGCTATAGCACTACATGCAATTGCACACAACCATACAATAGGATGGATGGGATAAGATGACAGTTTTAAAATCTAATGTCACAGGGTGTAGGGGGAGATAGCAACAGAAGCCTTGTTTATCGAATCAACTGCAAGCACGTGTAATAGGAATGATATATCTGGAAAATTCTACTACCCCTGTGACGACAAATAGGAGAGAAAAAAGAAAATTATGAAACTCAAGTTTCGAAATCGTGTGATTATAATTGATGGAATGATTATGAACAATAATGAATTGTGTTCGAAACTGTGTCATCCAGTAAACAGTAATACTGTTTCACTCACTGTATGATATATCGTATAAACATACTAATATGGAGCTGGTATTTTTTGTGTTAGGTGTATGACTCTCTTTTAGATATTTGTTACATGTTTAGTAGATTCTAGTAATCGACAGATAAGTTTCAAGCTGATTGCCTAGAAAAAACGCTGACTCCAGAGATTATTATTTTACTGTGGGGTTCGGATTGGCGCATTGGGTTTCAACAGCACAACTCCATTTTATCTACTCTATGTCACCCTCGGACTGATGTCCTCGTTTCCTATACGAGTTTTACTTGTTGGTCTGTTATGTAATGCTAATCAACGGTCTCCTTGGTATAGTTGTTGGGTAATAGGTCCTTGGTTGGTTCTTTCCATGAAAAGTCGCCTTTTTGCTAATCCTTTCTGACCGACTATCTGATCTTCATTATGCGGCCAGCAAAGTGGACAGCTGTTGATAAAAGTCTACTGCAGCCTGTTCGAAATACTTTAATGGCACGCCATCTCTTTGAACCATACAGAAGAACTGAATGATATGACATTGATCTCAAAAATCCACATCTTGTTCTTGATGCTTAACGCAGTAGATTTTAAGAGTGATTTCTGGTCCTGGCTTTGACATATTCACTCATACCGCCCGTAATTGAGAGATGATGCTGGTTAGATGAGTGGAAGAAGTAACTTCCTTCGAATTTCTCTCTTTGACGCTGTTTGCTGCTTATTGTTGCTTGGTTATTTTCATCACTTCTATATCCTCTATATTCACTTGAAGTCCTATCTTCGCTGCTTCTGTTGCCGTCTTACTGGTTTTCGCCTGTTGACCTTCTAGTTTGTGTTACATGAGACGTAAATCATCCACGAAGCTCAAATCTTCTAGAGACTCCAAAGAATACTATTATGAATTTAGGAGTAAATAAGATCGATTCTCCGAGAATCAACTTTTTTATGGATGTAACAAAAGTACAGACCTGCTCTACTGATAATTAATATCTATATTTCGTTGTTGGATAATAGTAAGTTCTGTTGATTCGATTACATGGAAAAAAAGAGGAGAAAAGGTTGGCTTTTTCCCCAGTGAGTGCTATATGTTGTTGAAGTTGATTTCTCTATGGTGATTATGTGATGAGAGCTGTCTGCTAGCTAAAATTGGTAGACAGGAATTTATGTCAATGTTTACGTCCCATATCTTGGTCATTCGAAAAAAAACAAGAACAAAGACTAACTCAACAATCAGTCACAGCAGACGTTGCGTGGGCGGGCATGATTCGCAGATATATGGTCTGACCTTCAAAGAAATGGCCACAAGGGGATGGCAGAATAACCTTCAGCAGGAAAACAACCAATCGTAAGACACTTTCTCTGCTAATAATAACGAGAAATAATGTACATAAAAGTATACAAATCACTCTTGATTTCCTCAATAAACGATCTTTTGCCTGCCCGTTGTCTTCTGTCGTTACGATTAGGTTTTTTTACCTATATATATATATATATATATATATATATATATATCGTTGAATTTATTATTAAACTTTCTAGCAGGCTAATGAGTAACTTGACTGTGTGAGATTTATTGATTCTATGCACTTACATTCAGTTGTTTTGTATTTGTTTCAGAGTTTTGTATCTCTTTTAATCAAATCTACAGAGATATTGTTTGACGCCTAGAAGAGTATTTCTGTTTATGAATGTGGTGTTGTCACAAGATTGTATGATTAACTCTCCAGCATAATAAAGTGATTACATTTGACATATCTTTTTTTTCTTATACACTGTACAATACATTCAAGTGGTAGTTATCATGTCGCCTAATGTGGGGTGGGGTGGTGGTGGTTACGTATTCAAACGCTTAAAAAAGACTTCTTGTCATTGTTGTCGGGGTGTAACTATTTTTCTAAAACAATTTTCAGCTTTTATTCTGTATTGATTTGTTGTAATCTGTTATTATGGTTAAACTTACTGATAAATAAATAGTGGAATCTCATGAGAGTCGAATGAAACACCGTGAATAATTAGAATTGTTAACATGTGATTATGACCATTTACAAATGAAAATTTCTCAAAGCTGATTTGCAATTTCTCATTAATCATATTATTGCTATTAGTATATTAGTAAGTGGAGACATTTACTTGCCAATACGAGCTAAAAACAAGCAACAAATGTCGGATTGATATCAGTTGGAGAAGCAATGAAAAATAGTGAGTATAGGACAGGCGTTTCGTCCTAGTTTGTGACTCATCGGCAGTGCGCACCCACCGCCAGGGGTCGAGCCCAGGACCTTTCGGTTTCAAGGCAAGCTAGCTCGTATACCATTCAGCCACTGGGACCCGACTCAATGACCAATCCATGAGTTCCAACTCCTACCAATTCGTTATTTTAGCGCGACTGCCTTGCGCTGCGGGTTGGCCACCCCTCCGCACACCTCTTGAAATGCTCCCATATGACCGGGCGTCTTACATAGCCTCTCCTAAGGAAGTCCTACTCACTGCCTTCACGTGGCGGAGGTGTTTTTCACCAAAGTGAGAGGGCGAAAGCGGATGCCCGGCGCTCTTCACCGGGTTGACTGTCCATTGGATGACAGTCTAGGGGAGATGGCTAAACCCTGATTCCAAACCTCCAACGACTGGCGTATGAAGCTCACTGGAGCTCACCGGCAGACGTATGAACAAAGGGCTTGTTGGGTGTCATGGATGTCTGGCCCCATTCAAAAAGGCGTATGAACCGAACTCCGGTCACTGGCTGCCAATGGATAGTGGACTCCCTACTCCACTCCTACTGCCTTGTAGGTCACACTTGGTTGTGTAAAGGCTAGAGCTGCACT